AGGCCCAGGGGGGCTCAGCCTCCACACACACCTGCAGGCCCCGGGGGGCTCAGCCTGCTGGATCCTGTGTCAGATGGTGATTGGCAGGGCTTGGGGGGACCTGAAATTCTGAATTGGTAACAAACTCCCAGAGGAGGCGAATACTCCCAGCGGCAATGATCTGGAGCCCTGTCCAGTCCGGGTGTGGGGAACCTTTTCCAGCCAAGGGCCCTTTGGATATTTCTATCATTTTTGACCATGTAAACTATCAACTTAAAAATTAGCCTGCGCTATTTGGTCAACATTTGATTACCTCACCCAATGCCTTGGCAGGGCCGGGCCCCTGGTGTTGGCCACCAGCCACAGGTGGCCATTGACGTTTAAATTAGTGAGAGGAGGTTCAACACTCAGTCCTCGGTGGCAACAGCCACACCTCCAGCTGAGCCAGCAGCTAGCGCACTGGACAGTGCCAAGGCCCAGCTGCAGCCCGGCGTGTGCATGCCGTCGTGGCACTCCCTCGGGGTCCTGCCGCGCCAGGACGTCCCTCAACGTTCTGGGGTTTTGGCAGCTGACTCCTCAGTGCACAGAGCAAAGCTGGCAGCCACAGGGAGAGCGTGGAATTCACGTCCTGCCACGTCGGGGGCTGGGCAGCACCTTGGCTCCCCATGGAACCCCAGGAAGGCAAGGACCTGTCCCAGGACTGCAGGGGCGTGGAATAAGGCATCGGGATCAGGGCAGAACAGAAATAGATCTGCCGTATCAACGCCTACTGCAAGCCTCCGTCCAATCACAGCGGCTCACCGATAAATGAGCACTAAGCGAAACTCTGCTCCCTGCACAGAAAGGTAGAGAATTTAAAATCTCTGCACGTCGCCCACAATTTCCAGCACACAGTGACACTAGTATACGCCAGCAACAAAGTCTAGTCACGTGAAGAAACAAGAAAATGCGACTCACAGTCAAGTGACTGGGCAATTGAGACTGGGCAAGACGGGCCGGACACACCCTGGAGCCCTCCGCGGTCCCTCCCCGGCCCCGATCATGCACCAGTGGGGTCCCTCGGCCTGGCCTGCGCCCTCTCGTAATCCGGGACCTGTCAGGGGATGTCGGAGAGCAGGTTTGGGCCCGATCCCCGCAGGCCAGGCCGAGGGACCCCAACTGGTGCATGACTTCATGCACCAGGCCTCTAGTGTACACATAACTGGGAGCAGAAAAAATATTTATGGAATATTGGCTGATTTTTCCAAATTGGATCAAAAAACTGTAACCCAGGGACTTATAAGGTTTAGCAAACCCCAAGCAAGTAAAAAAAAAAATCACAGCTTATGCCATTACACAAAACTGCTGAATATTAGCCTTAGCCAGTGTGGCTCAGGGGATAGAGCATCGGCCTGCGGACTGAAGGGTCCAGGTTTGATTCCGGTCAGGGGCACATGCCTGGGTTGTGGGCTCAATCCCCAGTGGGGGACATGAGGGAGGCAGCTGGTCAGTGATTTTCTCTCATTATTGATGTTTCTCTCTCTCTCTTCCTCTCTGAAGTCAATAATATATTACAAAAATAAAAATAAAATATTTTAAAAAAACAACAGAAAACCTGCCGAATACTAAAGATGAAAAAAGGTTTTAACATCAGCCAGAGGAAAAGCACGCGCTGATACAGGGCACAACCATAAAACCAGGGCTGACTTCTCATCAGAAACAGCGGGGGCTACAGGCCTGGCCGGCAGCGCAGTCGGTTAGAGCGCAATCCGGATTCACCAAGGCTGAGGGTCCGCTCTCTGGTCAGGGAACATGTAAGCTGCAACCATGAGTGCACAGTAAGTGGACACCGTATCAGTCCCTCTCTCTCTCTCAAGTCCATTAAGAACAAGAGAAACAGAGGCCAGAAGACAACGGAATGGCGACTTGAGAAGAAAAATGGTGCCTGGCTCAGTCCCCTCACCACCACCTGCAGGGAGTGCACAAGGTCCCACCTCCACAGGAGCCCAGGCTCAGAGCCGGTGAGTGCTGGGGACGGGCCACAGCCAGGCGGCAGGGGAGCAACCATCCGGCCGAGCACACCACGTGTGGGCAGCGCTGCGCTGCAGCAGGCAGCATGTGACACCGGGCTGGCCGTGACCTTGGGTGGGGGTCAGGGGGTGCTGGGGCCTCTTGCAGGGAGGAGGGAGTTTATCCCTGTTACTCAGAACGAACCGAGAACACGCGCACTACGTGCCACGGAAAAATCAAGGGCCACGAGTGTCCGTGCGACTTGTGTGTAAAACTGTAAAAATAATTTAATAGAAACACGTGAGGACTTTCCCCTGGAGTCAAAAGAAGTGTCCGTACTTGGTAAGACGCCGCAGGGCAGGGCAGGAGAGGGCGGCTCCCCGGCCGCTGGTCCCCAGGGGTCTCCGGGGGCAGCGGGCACTTCCGGGTGACCCTGCCATCACACACGGGCACCCCGGGCTGGACGGTGCCCGAAGAGCCGGCTCGAGCACTTCCTCCGTCTCCTGACCCCCAAGACGCTGGAGACCCTCACACTCAGATAAAAGGCGCTGCCTGCCTGTCAGCTCCCTCATTTAACAGGAGCCCAGACCTGGGTGGGGGTGGGGCCCGAGGGCCTTCAGCTTCTCCAGCTTCTGTACCTGGAGTGTGATGCCCCCGGAACGCTGATGGCAGGCGGAAGGCAAGTGGCTTGAGCACCGCCAGCCCTGGAACTGCAGGGCAGAGGAGCGGGCAGGTCCCCTGGGGGCAGAGGAGCGGGCAGGGCCTCTGGGCCCACAACACGAGGAAGGGGCAGGTCCCCTGGGGGCAGAGGAGCGGGCAGGACCCCGAGCCTGAGGCTCACAGAAGCTGCTTCTTCCTCTTGGAGGCCGGGGGCGGCCGCAGTTCCCCAGGCCCGTGGGCGAAGGGGCAGCAGTCTGCAGGCAGAGCGCAGCCATCGGGGTGGTGTGAGAAGAACCAGCAGAGGCGGGTTTTGAACGCCGTGGACAGCAGCCTGCGCTTGGCTTCCGGTTGCTTCTCCTCCTGCAGCTTCTCTTCCCTCCAGTCTCGAAAGTGCACTCGCCCATTCAGAACTGCGGTTTGAACCGAGACAGCCGGGAAGTCAACAGGCAAGTCCCTCAACTCACCTGAGCCCAGAGCTCCCACAGAGCCCGGCCCGCCAGCGCCCAGCGAGACAAGGGCTGAGATCTCACACGGTGATGGGAGAAGGGACGGTGGGGCAGGATGGGGGACGGGCTTGCAGGGGACCAGGCTGAGGCCCGGTGTGACGGCGTAAGCGGTGTGACCGCCGTAGCGTGCAGGGCCCTGGTCCTCGAGGCTCACCTGTCCATATGGAAAGGAGAAAGCCAGTGCGGCAGCTGGCGGGCCTTCCCAGTGGGCAGAAGGCAGCCGCAGGGCCCCGCAGCCAGAGCCCCCCAAGGTGAATGAGGGTGCCGCTCCCAGCAGTCAGCAGGGGTGGGGCTGCAGATGGGAGCGGGTGGGAGGGCCCTGTGCCGCCAGGGGGACCTCCTGAGCTGGTGCCCTACACCCCCACACAGCCGAGACCCCGGGAGCTTGCACGTGGCTGTTTCCTCCAAGAGCCGTGAGCTCAGCAGAAACGCCGTGCGAAACGAGGCCAAAGCAGCCAAGTGAGTCCCGGTTCCCCCGGAAGCTGCACCCGGCAACGGGCTGGGAGGTGCAGGGCTGTTGAGAAAGCCTGGCCCTCGGCCCTGAGACCTGCACTGAGTTCTAGCTTGACTTTGCTCTGCACAGACGCCCACTAACACTTCCCGGGGAGCCCAGGCAAGGAGGCAGAGGGGACTCCCTCCTGCCGCCAAGGGGCGCCTCCTGTGGCTGGCGCTCGGGCCTCCCCAGGACGCTGACCGTGGCCTTCTTCCCCTGAAAGCTCGGGTCAAGGAAATGTCACCGTGTCCATAGCATACCTCCCGGTGCAGCACAACATGACATGCCCGCCCGTGGGAGCCGGGACCCCTTGGGTGTGTGTGCCCCCATGGCCTGGACAGGCTCACGAGAAATGTGGGGTGGCCACAGGGGCCAAAGCCGGGCATGGAGCAGCCTGCAGAGGTCAGGCCTGCAGGGCAGTGAAGAGGACCCTCGGGGCCAGGGCCAGCCAGGACTTCCAAGGCCTGGGGAGAGGGCGCTGACGACAGCGGGAGCGGGATGGGGGCAGCTGAGGCTGGCGGGATGCAGCATACTGCCCCGCACTCCGAGGACGGGCCCCGACATTTCTGAACGTTTCCTCCCTCACGTGTGCGCGCCCCGAGCCTGACTAGCACAGAAAAGCTGCTGTGCGCTGCCTCCACCATTTCTGACCAGACACTACCTTAACCCGAGCGCGGAGGGTGGGGCTGAAGGTCCTCGGGAGAGCACGGCGGACAGCTCCCGGACGTGCCGTGCGCAGGAGCCCGGGCTCTGGTCCGTCTGGACCTGGGCTGCCAGTCCCGCCCGCCCCTCTTAGAGCCTCGGCACGTCCCCGTCTCTGAGCTGCACGGGCACCTTCAAGGCCACAAGCGCAGCACTGAGCCGCGCATGCCGACCGCCCCCAGGGCCGGCTCCACGCTCCTGCCACAGCGTCCTGACTGCGTGCTGACCAATGTGCACCGGTCATGGGGGCTCAGGGATGGAGTGGGCACCACCCTCACACCTGCACGGCCCTCCGTGTTACAGCCCTGGCACCTGGCACCAAGGCGGACCCCTCTGCCCGCACACGTGATGGAGAGCACAGCTCAGCAGCCCGCACACAGACCGGCTCAGGCATAGCTCTCGCATGACGCACGGCTGCCTGCTCCAACTCCACCCCGGCCTCCTACTCAGAAGCGTTTCCAAAAATAAAAGCGCCCCCCGCGTACACTGCACATGACAGCAGTCAGACGCATGCGTGCTTGTAACGGAAAAAAGATGCTGTTCATGAAACCAAACAGAAAAACGCGTGGGACACAGAGAAGGGCTGCAGCGAGCCTCCCGGACTGAGCTTGCGAAACGCAGAGCGATCCCAGGCAGCCGAGCCAGCTCAGTGGGGCAGGAAGGCCAGCTCAGGGGCCTCCTCCGGCTCCTCCCAGCCCGAGGGGCAGCATCTACCCCAGTGAGACCAAGACCTTCAGGCCCAGCATGTGCACCCAGCTGGGCCTGGCACGGGCCAGCACCCGTGGACAAACTCCAACCCGGCCTCCCTCACTCTGGAAAGGCCCCCGTCACCTCCTTCCCACAGACCCCGCCTGAGGCGCCTGTCCTGCTGTGGGACCCGCCCGAAGGGGGCAGCCTCCTCCGCCAGGTCCTGGGCACAGGACAGAGGCCTTCACCCTGGCCTGCAGCCTCCAGCGCAGCACACACGGGACAGCTTGCCCCGAGATGGTGCCTCGAGGGCCAGACCCCGGGGGGAGGGGTCGGGTGGGTGTGCCCCCTCCGGGACACTCAGCCTCCTCCTGCAGCACCACAGCCATGAGGCCTGGCGGCCCCGCCTGCAGGGAACTCATGGCCTCGCTGGGGTGGGGGTGTGACAAGTGCAGGAGGACGTGTGACAGAAGCACCTGGGGACCTGGGGCCTGGAGGAGGCAGTACCGGGCGGGGCAGGTGGCTTTGGGGAGGAGACAGCCCACAGAGACGCGAGGCAGACCATAGCCACCCGGGAGGAGCGGGGTGAGCCTGGCAGGGGCGGGAGGCGCGGCTGCTCACCTGCGAAAACCTGGTGGTTGTTCCGCAGCAGCGTCTGCAGGCCGCCGCACTCCCGCTTCAGCCTCTGCAGGGTCTCCCGGTCCAGCTGGCCCGCGACCTCCGCCAGGGAAAGGCTCGCTATTGAAAAGGGGTCCCCCAACGACAGGAAAGGGCCATCACACCCTGTCCCTGTCCCATGGGCACAGAACCAGCCTCCCGTGAACTCAAATCCCTCACGCACGTCAGCAGGGACCACAGATGCTTAGACTTAACGTGCCTTTAGTCTACACCCCTGCTGAACTAGTGGCAGGGCCGCCCCGTGCTGCCAGAGGCGGCTGCCCGCAGGCCCACCCTGTGCTGTCCGCAGGCCCTGCTCTGTGCTCCCCACCAGGCCCTGCCCTGTGCTCCCCGCCAGGCCCTGCCCTGTGCTCCCCGCCAGGCCCTGCCCTGTGCTCCCCGCCAGGCCCTGCCCTGTGCTCCCCGCCAGGCCCTGCCCTGTGCTCCCCGCCAGGCCCTGCCCTGTGCTCCCCGCCAGGCCCTGCCCTGTGCTCCCCGCCAGGCCCTGCCCTGTGCTCCCCGCCAGGCCCTGCCCTGTGCTCCCCGCCAGGCCCTGCCCTGTGCTCCCCGCCAGGCCCTGCCCTGTGCTCCCCGCCAGGCCCTGCCCTGTGCTCCCCGCCAGGCCCTGCCCTGTGCTCCCCGCCAGGCCCTGCCCTGTGCTCCCCGCCAGGCCCTGCCCTGTGCTCCCCGCCAGGCCCTGCCCTGTGCTCCCCGCCAGGCCCTGCCCTGTGCTCCCCGCCAGGCCCTGCCCTGTGCTCCCCGCCAGGCCCTGCCCTGTGCTCCCCGCCAGGCCCTGCCCTGTGCTCCCCGCCAGGCCCTGCCCTGTGCTCCCCGCCAGGCCCTGCCCTGTGCTCCCCGCCAGGCCCTGCCCTGTGCTCCCCGCCAGGCCCTGCCCTGTGCTCCCCGCCAGGCCCTGCCCTGTGCTCCCCGCCAGGCCCTGCCCTGTGCTCCCCGCCAGGCCCTGCCCTGTGCTCCCCGCCAGGCCCTGCCCTGTGCTCCCCGCCAGGCCCTGCCCTGTGCTCCCCGCCAGGCCCTGCCCTGTGCTCCCCGCCAGGCCCTGCCCTGTGCTCCCCGCCAGGCCCTGCCCTGTGCTCCCCGCCAGGCCCTGCCCTGTGCTCCCCGCCAGGCCCTGCCCTGTGCTCCCCGCCAGGCCCTGCCCTGTGCTCCCCGCCAGGCCCTGCCCTGTGCTCCCCGCCAGGCCCTGCCCTGTGCTCCCCGCCAGGCCCTGCCCTGTGCTCCCCACCAGGCCCTGCCCTGCAGCTGAGCCCAGGAGCCGAGCCTCCGACAAGGTCAGCGGCGGCGCTAACTCACACCTGCGAAGCCTCACTCTCACCGGCCTCTCACCCGCCCGGAGAACGCGGGAACCCAAGGGAATGGAACACTGGCCCGAAAAGCCCCCACCTCCCGGCTCTGCCCCATGAGCTCCCCGCGCTGACTCTCACATGCAGCCCGGCCCCGGCCACGCAGCTCCACTCTGCTGCCCTCGTCCCTCCCGCTGGGTGCTGCCCCAGCTCCCACGTGCCCCTCAGCCAGGCCTGCAGGGGGAGCCCCAGGCCTGCACTGGGTAGGTCCTGGGGACAGACCACTCATGTCACAGAGCGCAGGCATGGAGGGCCCAGGCCTGGGACGGGCTGGGCGGTCACTAATCCCAGTGACCAGGAGAGCAAGGCCGCCTGTGGGGTGGGGGCTGGAGGCTGAGGCCAAGGTCAGGCCTCCCCCTCATGGGAGCATGTTCCCCAGCCGACAGGGAGCTGAAGCCTCAGACAGCCCTGGGGAGCATGGTGCCCCGGCTCCCAGACATCTCCGGGGGAGGGGGGCTGAGGAGTGATAACTAGAGCCCCCCTCCTCCTGGGCCTGGGAAAGAGCCCGTCCTGCTCACTAGGAGGCACCCCCAGGTTCCCGAAGGACCCCCAAGGGAAGCGCCATCCTGGAACGAAGGTCCAACTCCCGTCTTCAGTGCACTGGGGCTCTGGGCCCACTCAGCTTGCCTTCCTCTACCCTGGCTCCCTCAGTGGGGCACCCCTAGCTCAGTGATGGCGAACCTTTTGAGCTCGGCGTGTCAGCATTTTGAAAAACCCTAACTTAACTCCGGTGCCGTGTCACATATAGAAATTTTTTGATATTTGCAACCACAGTAAAACAAAGACTTATATTCTTGATATTTATATGTTTAAATGCCATTTAACAAAGAAAAATCAACCAAAAATCAACCAAAAAAATTAGTTCGCGTGTCATAGGTTCGCCATCACTGCCCTAGGCGGTGGCTGTACCCACAGAACACCCCGTGGCACCCTGGGCTGCTGCAGCCACACAGCCACCTAGGCCAGGCCACGCTGGCGAGGGCTGCCGGGGTCCTGATCAGACACCAGGAGGGGCGGTGACTCTGGAGAGGGGACATGCTCAACGGGGGGTGTGGGGGGGGTGCTGCGTCACGAGGACACGAGACGGGAGGGGGTGAAAGGATGGAGACACGCGACTGTGACAACCTTCGTGGCTGAGGGAGAGCAGGAGGGTGGAGGACCCAGGATGCCTCCTCCTGGGCCTGTCCCACCCGCAGGGCCAGCCGGGGGGCCGTCCTGACAGGCTGAGGGGGAGAGGGGTCCTCAATTTCCTCATGACCCCAAACCTCAGGCAGGACTCTGGCCGGTGGACAGACAGCTCCACAGCGCCCCCTGGTGGCTGGCCGAGATGCCTGCGGGCAGAAGAGCAGCAGGGAAACCTTCCCAGCAGCCTGGGACCTGTGACCCCGGGAACAACTTTAGGAAGACGATCGGGGCTCACACTTGGGCCCCGCGCCCTCGGACGCCACTGGCTGGACAGGGCACCCTCCTGCGAGGACAGTCAGGCACACACCCTCCCGCCCAGAGAATTACAAACCCACCACACTCGTCAGAGTCCCGCCGGCACCAGTGACCGTGTGCTGCTGGGACAGGCCTCAGACCGGCGGTCGGGGAAGGCTCGTGAGGGCCC